GCTAATGTTAAAGCATTCATATTTCCTGGAGCCTAACCCTACGTAACCCCTCCGTCTGAACGGTTACCATAGGTATTTCCTTTTCTAACTGGATCAGCATTGAGACTAATTTAGGCCATATGTCAGTAACTCGTCCATGTGTTCCTGAGTCGTCTTGTTCAGGACCCCTGACGTTGCAGGCACGAACACTGAGTCAAAATAACGTTTAAACCAATTTAGGACCATTACAGAAGTCGTTAAAAAAACCAACATTCCCGCAGACTTACCAAACATATCTAAGGCCCATATTTCATCTGGGCATTTGATACATAGGCCATATAATAACTTCTTTCAAAGCAGCACACATTAAATGCACCTATAATCCTTCATAAATTTCTTTTCTATTAGATCATTTTAGATTTTAACATAAAGTAAAAAATGAAGCTGTAATCGATTGTTCTAAGGCCGTCATGTTACCACGCGCACACACACGTACAGTAAAATAAGGCGTAACCCTACTAAATGGCCCATTGTTTACGAAGGCACGTGGCTGAAGGCGAGACCGCGGGGGCATGCGGCGCCTTGCTGTCACCCGCCTGCCCACTACCAGCTGAAAGCAAGAGGAACAGCCCAATTGGTAGTCCAGTTCTCTGCGCTTTTCACAGACTTCAAGTTTCATTGTTTGAGCCCTACTATCTCTAATTAACAATATGAAATCGTAAGGCCCTATCCGATTTGCGCAATTGTGCAGACGACCTAGTTCAGGGCTTAGCGTGCACTCTTGACATTTGTCATCCGGCTACAATCCATAGTTCAATATTGATTTCGTGGTCCAGATGGCTTAAAAGTGGTATTTAAGCGGAGGTTTTCATTGCATCCAGGCATGCCTATCTTCAAAATGAAACTACTTCATTTCATTGTCACTTTAGTGGCTAGTGCTGCTGCCTATCCTCTCCTCGAAACGGAAATCTTTCCTGGCTGCATCGACCCAATATGCATTGCAGACGGAATCTATGGCTTCCACTGCGATGAGGGAAAGTGCTCATACATTTGCTCTGAGGCTGGCTGCAAGGAGGCTCATGTGTTAGTAAATCTGAATACGGTGAATGATAAAGAGATATTCAGCGGATGCAATAAATCCACGTGCTCCGCTTATGGGATCTACGGTTACGGATGTGAGTTTGGTAAATGTAGGTACACTTGCTCCAAGGAAGGCTGTAGAGAGAGTGACCCCCTAATGGAACCAGAGAAAATAACAATGCATATAATTTTCTACGAATGTAACGGCTCTAGCTGCTTCTTGGATGGTGTCCACGGATACGGTTGTGAGTTTGGTAAATGCAGCTATATCTGCTCTGATGACGGCTGTATCAACGTTGAAAAGACAGAGCCAGTGAAGGCGACGCCGTCTGGGACAGAAACGAAGCAATTTGAGGAATCTCCCTTAAAGGCGATGGAGGATAAGGAGAAGCACCTAGAGACTGAGAAGACTCGTTTTAGACATGGCAATTTTACCGACAACATTTCTGATAACAAAGGCCATACGGATGAGAGAGCAACTAGCAAAATGAGGATTAGAAAAGACGAATCGACACAGACTAGTAGTGAAGGTGATAATAGGCACACAGATAAAAAAGACGAAAAAGTGAAATGGAAGAATGGAATGTATGTATCAGACAGGATCATACGGAATCAGAAAATGACCGGCTCTGAAGACAGCACTAAGGTACCAAAAAAACCCAAAAGTAAACTGGGTGGCAGTGCACGTGAAAGTGATCAATTTGGTGAATATGAAAGTGACGAACCGAAAAAGAACTTTGCAACACCGAACGGCATGGATGAATACGAAGACTTCGAAGAGGAGGAGTACTTCGAGGACGAGTCTGGTGCGAATCTAGCACCACAGCCCCGACGTGATGAACCGAAAAAGAACTTTGCAACACCGAACGGCATGGATGAATACGAAGACTTCGAAGAGGAGGAGTACTTCGAGGATGAGTCTGGTGCGAATCTAGCACCACAGCCCCGACGTGATGAACCGAAAAAGAACTTTGCAACACCGAACGGCATGGATGAATACGAAGACTTCGAAGAGGAGGAGTACTTCGAGGAT